ACGAATCCAACAAACAGCTCATCAGAAATTTTACATTCAAAACATTGAACTGGCAATGCAATCAAATAGATTTTTTGAAATGGCATTCTTAAATTAACTTCATGTGCGCCAACATTTTGTTTTAGGACTAGTTACCCCCATTGTTGACAATGTATCCAGAATATTTTTCGGGATGATATAGACACTATAAATGTGTTTGAATAGTATTTGCAAATCGATTACCCATAATCAGTTTCTCGTAAAAATGCCCTTGGTTACATTCCTACAGTTAATTATAGTATACCTGTTCTAGCGTATAATTCCAAGCTATGTGAGTAGCTATGAATTGCAAACCGTTACATAGGAGCTTAACAGCATTAGAGGCCCTGAGCATATAACAGTGTAATGGACCCCTGCCTACCCAACCACAAACGGGAAAACATGTAAGTTAGTGTATGGGTACTTCCTACAAAATCAGTGCTTAAACATTAAAAAAAACATACCGTACAGCAAGTTACAACATACGTAGATAAGAATGGAATCCCTATCCCCTTATAACATTTCAGTGTATTACTTTGAGACAAATAACTCGACTGAATTCAATTTTTCATCAACAGATATTATATAGAAAGGTACAAAACAGGCTGATGAGAAAGACAGTCGGGATCAAAGTCGCAATACTCAATAATTCTCACTAATTAAATAATGGTAAACTCGATTACCATGTGACACATCACGTGGGCAACAATACTGAAAAAATAGTCTCAGTCACCCAGAACGCCCTAGTCTTCAACGTTCGGAGCGTCTGGGTCAGTTGTCAACATTTGGTGCTGTACCGAAGCCACGACATAGATAGATGTACATTGAGTTTTAACCAGTTTTTTATCGGTACATATCGAGGGCTGAAACCCAGAAATGCCTATTTAAACCAGCGGTTGCCAGGCAATATACGCCCACACTTTGCGTAGATAACAAAGTAAAAACAAAAGCGATATTTCGTACAATCAGCGGCCATAATCCAGAAAGTTATGGTCTGAAATGCGCAAATATCAAGAGATAGAACTTTTGGATATAAAGATATATTTTAAGTTTCATAATTACATTTACACAAAATGAGTACAAAGAGATGCCATTTTGTCGGGCACTTGCATTTCGATTTCCACGAAATTCGAATTCAGACTTCATTATGGTGGAATGGTGATATATTTAAGCGGGGCTTATGTCGACTTTGCAACCCATTTGCAAATGAACATTTTCTGCTGCGGGTAAGCAGAGCGATAAGCAATTTGATTGGTCGAGAGAGAGTGAGGACACTTGGTGTATATCCTTATTACATCAGTACCTTGACTAAGTTCGATAATGAGAATTTTCTGCTGAGGGTAAGCAGGGCGATAAGCAATTTTATTGGTCGAGACTTTGGAACACAATAACTCTCCTAATTGAAGTAGAATGTTCAAACTTGGTGTAGATGTTCATTAGGCGAATGCCTTGATGAAGTTTGGTGATGAACATTGTCTGTTTAAGGTAAGCTTAGATAAGCAATCTGATTGGTTGATGCACGATAACTTTGGTTATTATGAAGCTGAGAGTGATGTAACTCCGAATATAGATTCATTATATAATTAAGTTCGATGGTGAGAATTTTCTGCTTAGGCTAAGGAGCGATAAGCAATTTGATTGCCCAAGACTTTGAAACATAACAACTCTGTTTTTAATTGAGGTAGAATGTTTAAACTGTATGTGGATGTTCATTAGGTGACTGAGTTCAATGATTAACATTTTGAGCTGAAGCTAAGCAGAGCTAGTCAATTTCATTGGTCGATGCTTTGGGACAAGATAATCTTGATTCTATCTGATAGAGTGATAAAACTTAGTGTATAGTTTGATTGCTCGATACTTTAAAAAAAAATGTGCGATTAATTAATATGTGTCATCTATTTATTTTGGGATTTCGGCGGGGGACATCACTGTCGCTTAAGCCATCTTTATGATGTCGTTTGGTGTCGCCACCGTGTGCTCAATTTGGCGATTGAGAAATAAAATGAAATGGGGTTTAACGCCCTGCTTTGACGATTGAGCACCTGATCGGGACCATTATGTCGATACAAACGACTCGCTCTTCGTCAGGTTGAATGGTTTGGCGGATTGTTAAAATTGAAAACAACATGGAACGTGATATGGTTTGCAAATACTATTTCAAATATAAGCATAACAGCATTTGTTCATTATTTAAAAGACAAGTGCAGGATTTTGGAGAAATTTATTTGATTTTTTTTTTTACAGTTGATGCTCATTATCGAACTTAGTCAAAGTATTGATATAGTGAAACTATTTCATCACTCTCACTCAATTAGAACCCAACTTACCGTGTCCCAAGACGTCAACCAATCAAATTGCTTATCTCTGCTTGGGTTGGGCTGAAAATGCTCATCTAGGTAACTCAGGCACAGTGATTCAAGGGAAAGAACTGTCAGAATATAAGTCCTCTATCTACAAGAACTAGTCAAGTGGAGAACGCTAGACCGGAGACGGTCCTGCACATAATAACGTCATGTGGATTCGTCCAAGGTTATGAATAACGCTATCTCTGTTTACATCTGGAGACTGGCGAAATTTGCAGGTCCTAACACTAACTCAATTTTTGTTGATTTGTTGGTCTAGAATGGACGAAGGGGGTTTGAATTAACATTTTTTTTCCAGGTTTTGGTAAATATTCATGATTTAGAGGCGGAAGGATAACAGTTGTCAGGTTGGTTACGGTGATATGTGCGGCGAAAAATTACAAGGTTTTAGTATTCTTCTTCAGGTTTGTTTATCTCAAAATTTCCGTGATCAACCTCGTAGAAATTTTGGTGCAAAGACATTACCATTTGTTTCTCTGTGTGTAGTGAAAAGCAATCGGCCTAACGAGAATGTTGGGAAAAGTTGGAGCCGGGCAAAGAGGAGAGAATTAACATTGAAGTCACTGGGGAAATTAATGGTGGTCTGCCTCCATCTGCAAGAACTAGACAAGTTGGATATATGCATAACTTACACTAATGTAGCTGATGAAAATGACAGCAAGAACCCTCTATCTGGATATACTTGTTTCTTGTTTCCAAAAAAAAGATAGTGTTTTGACTTCGCTATTACAACATTTGTTATTTAGATAAGACTTGGGTCATATTTGCTGAGAAACTACATGTAATACCAAACTGTTTGGTGTATTTAACTCAGTTTTGACTATTTTGGAGATAGACTTCTGGCTGGCAGTCCTCGCTCTGTTCTTCTATTTGCGTTTATTAAAGATTTGAGGGCCTTCCTACTATTGTATATCACATCCATATGATTTTATATATTTGCCCATCTTAGTGTTTAAGATTGGAAACCCTTGTCTCAGTCTTCGTCTTAACACTATTAAGGGGGAGCAAAGACAAGTGCAAATACTAGACGATCACAGGGCTACTAAGATATGTAGTAAGAAAAGATGCACGGGTCATACGTAGGATGTGACGACCAGATTTGGTGGCCCGCTCTCCACGTCTGACAGAAGACCCATGGTACAACACCATCGCAGTGAAGAATACGCGAAAACGAACCTAGGTTGATTCACTTTCCCACACCTTCTCCCCGAGAATTGTCAATTATTTCAGTGCATGCGAAGATGAATTTGAATCGGAGCCCATGGACCCCTGACATCCAGGTGTCATTTAAGGAAATTAAAGATGCCGTGTGACTTGTCCCTTTCACCACCAACCATCATTTATTAGACAATTTAATAGATGGCACCACCATTCCACCCGATACAGATTTTATTGGTTGGCAGATTTTTAGCATATGTTTCAAGGCTTTTAAAAGGGTTGAATACCGTTTTTAGGACTTTTGTCTAATGGTTTGGATTGTTCGTACTTGCTTTTATTTTATTGTAACTAACAACCAGTGATTAAAAATTTCGAATAATTACTCTCTTATATTAAATCCAGAAATACCAGAATAAAGGTTAAATAAATTTTAATAGTACTTTTATTTAAAGAAAAAACACAAAACATTGGTCCAAAATGATAAAGATCGATCATTCTGACTTACCGTATAGTCCAAATAAGTTTACATTGTTTTCAGTTGATTTCACAACGCCATCTTTGTCTCTCTTAGATAAATGTAGGTCCAATTATAATAATTGGGCTATCTTATTTCTTACAAACCAGCCCATTGTTCATGTAGGCCTTGTCTACGTAGGTGTGCTTGATTTAAAAACGATAGTATATATATTAAACTTTTGAAATATTGTGCCTCCAATTTATAAACCCATTTGTTTAACTATCGATTTTCGTATATCACCACTGACTGAAGTGGGGTAAATCAATGGATAGAGTGGGCATGTCACATTGTTTTTATCCTTTTGGAACTTCTAGCAAGGGAACATCTGCCACTTTCACACGTTCCGGTCGTCACATTTATAAACTTAATTATGATTGTGTAGTGATGGACTTTTAGAATCCATGGGACTATTTTATTCATAAAAACAATTAAAGAAAATAAATATCCAACCCATGCGTAAGGTTTCGGTGACAAGGGTCATAACTCTTTAAATCGGCACACGATATCGATGATGCTACCCGTCATATCCTTAATCTAAAGAATATCAAGATATTTAAGCCAAGAATTGTTTTTCATTTAGAGAACGTGTCATTGATTAGAAACCTTGAAATAACATAACAAGTGACGTTCATTTCATTTACATTCATAAACATAGAACAAATAATATCAGAGATAATTATAAGTTAGTAGCCGTTTTAAATTAAACTCATTGGTATATATACTTCAAGTCGGTTCGATTTGTGTAAAAATATTAACAGACTGTCATGGCAACAAGCTGGAAGCCTGTAACTGGGAACTCGACAAATCCGATCTACAACTATCAACCTACGTTGACGTCAGTATTAAAAGGACGATTCCATTATATTGATTGGACTATATGTATGGGGTTATTGAGAGTCGAGGGTTGATTAACACTATCTATCTTGGACTGATTGTTCTGATGATTTACCTTAACAATATTATCACTCTCTCGTACCTGTTCTGACCTGGAAAAAGACGGATCGAGTCGGTGAAGCTATTTTATTCGACATTGTTTCAGCACTGTGACGTTTTATTAACAAGGTAAATTGACAGCTACCTATTGATTGCTATAGACTTTATGATAAACTAGACTTAAACATGATCTTGGGATGTGATATGGCACGGCTTTAAATTTCACAGTCTGGATCCGAAGAGGCTTCGGTCTTTGAAGTCATGCTGAAAATTTTGATGTCTTAAATTGTGGTATAGATGTTTTGTCACACGGGAATATTTATATGACCATAGGTTCCAGATGTTACAAAATGGCAGCCAACTACATGTGCCTTAACATGCAAGTGGTACAATTATTTATATTGTAAAATATCCAGTTGCGACTTAACTTTTGTTCAATCACGTGAACATATTGGCAACATCTGTTTTGCTGACAATTTAATTAAGGTAAGCACATCTATTTGTTTATGTTACCGGCTCTATGTTAAATAGTATTGGATATATGGATTCACTTTTGGTGTTTAAATGGGCCGTTCAGTGATTTATATTAACTAACTGCTATTTACCATCATAAACAATAAGAGAGGTACCACCTCGATTTCATTTCATTGTTGTGTGTGGCCACCACAGATAAGGTCATTTTAATTATGATGCATTACCGTTATACAGATTTATTTCTTTATATTAGGGTTAAATGGGCCAGATTTAAAAAGATTGTGAGATACATGCATATAATATTTTTATGCTCTATTTCCATATCACAACAAACAAACTATTGGAATTCAAAGGCCATCAAAAGGGGACGTTTAATACAAATGCAAAATAATAATATGATATTGTGAAAAATGAGCATGTACTAAATTGAAAATCGTAGAGGATACAATGCAATTTAGCTTTCTGCCAAAGTGGGGATCTGAAAGATCCCGCCACAAAGATTATTGATGTTTTAAAAATTATGGATATACGTAAGCTTCCCCACTAAAAGCTAAAACATGTTTTCTTTATAAAACATTATTCGTATTGAAATAAGAAAAAGGGGGTCAATCCCAATCTTTAAAAAAAATAAAAGTGACAGCACTCCATATATTCGTAAACAACCGATAAAAATGTAGAATAATGTTGGAATCAATACTGTAGACTAAAGAGTATTAATAATCAAGTGATAAGCCTTAATGTGAATTATTATATATAATTAACCAGAACAATACAACATAAACATATATACATCAAAAACAATTCCAAGTTTTAAATGGAAAATATGCACCAAAATCAGACTACGAGCCCAAACTGGAACCTTTAGACATCTATCCTAATTTTAAATGATGTCGGCCCAAGCAGACATAATGTAATGATAACATCAACCCAGGTCGGGTGTTCGATCCCTGCATTGGCCGAAAAAGTACATCCAGATTTTCCGGCGTGGTTCTTCCTTGTCAGTGATACCGAACGGAGGGCCTGACAAGGACAGCTGACTAGTCGTTCGGATGGGACGAAAAACCGAGGTCCCGTGTACACAGTGGCGTGCACGTTAAAGATCCCTTGACAGCTGGATTTCGATATAAGAGTAGGCCGTAGTGCCGCTGTCAGGGCAAAATTTCCCTCATAGCACACTGTATGGCGTATGCCCGTCTTAATTAGTCCAGTTCGGGGCAGAACAGTAGAACGTTAAACCCCATTTCATTTTCGAATCCCAATCCTGCCTCGTGCATAACACGTATCGGTCCTTGTCATCGTTGCATGTTCTTGCATACATTTTAAAGGTAACAGTTATTATCCTGATACATATAAATCCATGTTTTGTTGGCGCTAGGTATACGTTTGCTAACTTCATGATACATATAAATACATAGGTTTTTTAAATTGGCTCTAGGTATATGTTTGCTGACTTCATTTCGAATCCGGGTGAGATACTCCATCTTCTGGTGACTATGTATTGTGACATCACATGGTAACTATACTTGACATGCACAGATAGTTGTTCCATATTTTCACTTTAAAGTGTGGTATGTGTTTGGTTTTTTTTTATATTTTTAAACATTTTCCATGTTTTGACTTAAAAATGTGGTATGTGTTTCTTGAAAATTAATAAAAATTTACGAAAAAATATGTTCTTCCCTGAAGTCCACATCTTCAAAAACTAGAGAAGGTAGGATAAAATTGATATAGTGTCGGGTGCCATCTTTGATGACGTCATAGCGAAATAACCTACCACATGGCGAGTGTCCACCCAAGTTCAAAATTCTCCCTATTCAAACTTTCGTACAGAACCACAATGCACGGATTTTTGCGTCAGAAATGTGTTGCAGCCCCTATTCGAAAACTGTGGCCTTTATAAACATGTGTATTGAGTTGATAGAATCTTAAGCAAGAGAATACACACAGTTTCTTATCAATATAACTTCTGGGTATTGGATTTGCATAAAGAAGGGACCTGGGATGTTGCCTCTTATCTTTCAAATACTCAAACTAAAGTTAGAGCAGCCGCTGTGAAAGTGGGTCTATGACGAAAAGACAATCTATGTTTAGTTTGGTGTAGGTTATTTTAAAATTCCTAAAGCATACATTAAGCAAAAGAATAGTTTCTTATCAAAATGACTTCTGGGTATTGGATTTGCATAAAGAGGGGACCTGGGATATTTCCTCTAGCTTTCAAATACATTAACATTTAGAGCAGCCGATGTGAAAGTGGCTCCATGACCAAACCAAAAAAACAATCTATGTTTACTTTGATGTAGCTTATGTATAAAATTCCTAAAGCATACATTAACAATCATTGACGAGTTGTAGAATATTACGGTGGGTTCCAGCTAAACAAATTTCACCTATGCGTGTAAAAGCATTGAAAGCAAAAAGAAACATTGCGGTCAATGAAATTATTTCGTATTTAGATTATTGGTATTTCGTAGTAATTGGTAATCTGCTATCAATCGATGGCGACAGACGAAAGGCCTCAGCAAGCATCTTTTTTTATAAGAAAATGAGACACAGGATCTCTACCCAAACTGATTTTCTGAACGTACGAAAAAGCAGATAAATATTTTCGAAAACTTTTTCGAACAAAAAGGAAATTAACAAAGCAATGTGAGATGTTGATAATTTTGTATTAAGGGTGTTTAAATTATGCAAAAACTGAAAATTCAGACCAAGCGCGATTATAAACCAGTTGTGTAGTTGGGGCCAAGGCAGCAGTTAGTAATCCATCAATAACTGGAAAAAGCTCTGACCTTAAACAATATTTTATTTCTTGGTGAGTCACAGATATATGGATACAATAACAAGCACTAATGCTTATGTAACCAATGTTCATTGAGAAGATAGACGACTGGATATGGTTGATTTACATATTTTACAGAATGCAGAAGGTAAAGATCCCTTGGAAAGAACATACTAGTGGATTATAACGGTAGATATTTAATAAGACGATGTCTATGCCAAGGCCCAAAATTAGTTCGCCAAGTTTTATGAGGTCACCTGCTTTCTGATTAAGTGCATGCTTGATTTTAATTTAGTTTTGAATTCAGAAATAGTTTTGGAATTTTTTATTGGAAGACTTGGATCATTCCACTGTTTAACAGAAGATGGAAAGAAAGAGTTCTGGTACAGTAATGTTCTAAAGTTTATTTGCTTAAATTGGTTTGAGTTTCAAAGACGGTAGGGTTGGTCAGCGGTGACAAGAGGTGGAACTATATCGGTTAGATATCTTGGAACTAGTCCATTTAAAATTTTGTAGAAAAGTATCATTTTTTGTTGATAGCGTCTTAATTGAAGCTGGCAGATTCCAGTTTCCGTTTAAAGTATATTATGAGATGCACCACGTGGAAGGCCGGTTATAGTACGCAATGCGGCGAGTTAAAGTTTTTCAAGTTGAGTTGATTTATCTTTAGAACAATTATTCCATACACAATCTGGAGAGGAATCCGGTGAAATTGGAGTGGGTAACAACCACTGAACTTACACTGATTTGAACTGACCTGAACGACCTGTCCGTCATAAACTACGATTATTGACATTATATCGTTACGTGAAACAATGTAACAATCATTGAACTAGAACTGATGTTTAACTGACCTCGGCGACCTGTCCGCCATAACCTAGGAGAATTCATGTTTGACTTAACACTTCGATAAAATTTCTTATTGCCAGTTTGGTTTAGATGACATTGGCCGTCTTCAAAAATTTGACTTGGGTGTCAAGACTTGTAGAAGTAAAAATTGTGTTGACTACATTTCTCTGATTTAAATATAATTCGGGGCAACGGTCGCGTGATTATTTCACATATATAAACGTGTCTAACCCCAAATCCACATATTAAATATGATGCATAGCTAATAATTGCGTTCGCGACATACTGTAGGGTTCTGTGCATATTGCATAGCCCCCCCCCCCTCTCTGAAGAATAATTACATGGGGCATAAAACTATATAAGAAATCTGTAAGTTCATAATAATTGTTTACAGGGGTTTTGATAGTTCCCCCAGTGAAGCTGAAAAAATCGTATTTCACACTGAGCAAGATTCATTTCTATCAGTTTCTGGCCTCGAATGCAGTCGGCGAAAGCATTTTGCCCAGGCAAGTAAAGTCAGGCTGACACTTGCACGACTTTTGGCAACGATTTTGTTGTGGCAAGTCGTGCCATTTTGGGGCACGAACTGGGAGGCTCCCGCACTGTTCATGACTAGTTCCGAATGCGTGCCCATCAGTGTCCACATTGGCACGACGAGTTCACGCATAGTTTGCGCACTTCCCACATTGGCACGACGAGTTTGCGCAATTCGGACTTGGGTACGCCATATAAAACGGGGGCCTCCCCAACCCCTGGTCAATTTTGGATTGGCTGTGGAAGAGACAACATGCTGAATGTCAGAGACACAATCATTGCAGGGAAGAGAAGATGCCTACACCTGGCAGCTGCTCTAGCCATTGTTCAAGAGCAGCAGAAGAGCAATAAAAGGCAACCCCACCTCGAAGAAAGAAACAAAGGAAAGTGTGGGTCAGGGAATGGTTGACCAGAAGGCAAGAGTTTGGACAGTATGACAGTTTAGTGACTGAACTCCACAAGGAAGATCAAAGGGGCTACAAAAATTACCTCAGAATCACACCTGACCTGTTCCAAGAGATGGTTGAGAAGTTAACCCCTCGCCTCCAGAAGCAGTCCACCTTCATGAGGGAACCGCTTCAAGTTGGACTCGCATAGCTGTCACCCTCCGTTTCCTAGCCACTGGAAATTCCTATCCAAGTCTGCAGTACAGCTTCAGGGTTGAAGCAAGTACCATCTGCAAGTTCATACCCGAGGTGTGTAAAGCCATCATCGCGGTCTACAAGGACGAAGTGCTGCGCTGCCCCAAAACTGAAGAGGGGTGGAAGGAAGTTACTGCCAGGTTCAGCTCCAGATGGAACTACCACAACTGTCTGGGGGATGTGGACGGCAAGCACATCGCCATGGAGAA